CATTATATTTGATTACACTACTTAAATTCATAAAGAGTAGGTCGCATCAGCATTTTGCTACAGAACCGACATGCATTTCAAGGAGGACTTGTCCTTCCCATTTCGCTTTTTCAATTTGCTCATCGATGCGACCAACTTGTATTTTAGCCATTCACAGTCCTTCATAACTGTATGCAATCGTTGCTTTAGCCCTCTTCTAAGCTCGCTTTTCACTCTGCACTCTTTAATCCCTTCGCTTTCTCTCTCCAGACCGCCTCATCACAATCGGCCTCGTGGACGGTTCCCTCTTGAAGCTGGCCACGCCCTCGTCGGACGAGGTCATCGTTTGGAGGGCTCTTCTCAGACAGCACACGAAGCTGACTGGCTCGCAGGAGGCCAATTGACGACCGACCCGCCGCCAACGCCTGGCGACTCCTCTTCACTTCGCCCACACCCCACACGGCCTCCAGTTGGTCCGGTCTCGGGCTTGTCTCTTCACCTGCCCACCGGCGCCCAGTTTCCATTTCCCCTCTTTTCACTATCCCACACTCCCTCAGATGAGGATTGATGAGTTCTATGATTTCTGCTTCAAATAAAGAGAAATTTCGTTTATCAACTTGACTCTTGCCGCTTTTGTCCTCCTCCCTTGGTCCACCCTCATTGGGCCCAGTCCGATCGTGTCTGTTGCGGTGTAGGCCAGCGCATGAAGCGTTGGCAACTTTGAGCCAATTGACACGAAACACTTGCTTCTGGCCGAACGTCTCGACCGTTTTCTCGGCCCTTCACTTTCGTCCACTTGGACTCCTCTGTCCTCTGTCTGGGCTGGATGGTGTGGGCATACACGACGGTTTCACTCGAGCAGACGACGAGTAGGCCTGAACTTGCCCTCGGTTAACTGAGGTTGGGTGCATGTGGCCGAGTGGCCGACCTGTTTTTCACCGGCTACCGCATTCCTTGCACAACCTGAGTCCCGGTGGACACGGCAGCCAAATGAAAAAGAGTCGATGGTCCGGAAATCTTGCCTCCTTTCGGCGGTTCGCCTGGAGACGAATACCTCTGCTCCTTCTCTCGACTTGTCCGCGTTCTTGCCTTGTGTGTACATGTACCTATGTACGTTTACTTGTATGTATGCGTATGTATCTATGCTTGCTTTTTTGTATGCTTTTATGTATTTATGTATATATATATATATATATATATATAT